AGATTTAGCAAAAGTTTTTGACAATGCTAAATGGGACATGATATTAAATAGATTCTTAAAAATGTAAGATTGACTTAAAGTTACTGTTGGGGCGCAATTCATGATACGCCTTTTGAACAACGAAAACATTTGTGTATTTCGCAGTGTTAAATTTAGAATAACGTGCCTGCAACAAAGGAATGTTATCATTATTGTATTTAGGTTTTTCCTTGGCAGGTAACGTCCCTTCGCGTTAGTCACCAGATGGGTCGATGGTCTTTCCATCCACAACAATATTCTGATTTTAGTCACGTAGTCACTAACCGTAGCCTAAGGTCAAAAACACCCCACTAACGTACCTCCACCCCCTATATTTTCTTGTTATATTTAAGCATTTTATCTCATTAAGTTTTCATGTTTTCAACCATTTAGTTTTCTCTGCCAAGTTCAATCAATTATCTATTCAGTTCATCAGTAGTTCATTCATTGTAGTTATTTTTAAGTGTTTTTTTTTGTGTACTAAATGCGGAGATTATCTTAGGATAAGAAGGAGTGGAACTGCGTGTCCAAGCATCTTAGGACTCACGACCTTACGATGATGAAATCCTATAAAGGAAATACATAATACAAGTTGTTAATGTGTGAAAGCTGAAAGTTAAGGAATAAATAATTAATCCACATTCTTAAGTCAGTGTAAAAAATATCTCTCTTTTATTACAAAGTCAAAATAGTAGGATGTAATGTATAAAAAAAGTACATTCTAGTAAAATTCTTTCAAAAAAAAAATATGTTATTTGTGTCACGATTGCCACTTATTAATAAGTAAGACGTATACAAACTCTCTTTGTCCTTTAACCAAATCCAAAAAGATTTCTCTCTTTGATTGTTAACAAAAGAGGCGAAAAAAGCAGGCAAACTTTGCTTTTCAAAAGAACTTCGTAGCCGTAGTATTCGATTCTGCCTTTATTAAACAACTCGCAACCTTTGCTTAAGTGTTAGCCTACCAAGTTTTCGTACTTCCGTTATTTGTTTGGCAGTTTCTTTTGAAAAAATCACGAAGGAAATCCGAAATACTACAGGTTGCACAATAAGGCACGCACGTTCGATGAATGCCTCCCACTCAAGCAGTTAATTTAGGAAACGAACTTAATTATTCTGAATTTCAAATTGAACTTAATGAACCAAGAGCCGTCCGTAGTTAAAAACTTTTTACGAAATTAGAACCGACTCAGATTAAATCTACGGTGGAACTTTATTTAAGGCTTTTCTACAGCAAGAATCGATGTCTCGTGTCACTGCTTCACCACTCTTTTAGAGAAAAATGCTAATGGAACACTGTTCAATTTTACTAGTACCTAATATATAATAAATAACAATAAAAAATAAAAGTTATCATTATTCATTGCGTCGTTTTTGTTTTTTCTTGTTGATTGTACTGGGATACCACATGAACGTTGTTTAGTGCTATTTTTAAAATTATTTTAATTCAAAAGTATTTCCGTTTAGTTAGATCTAGTGTAATTGTTTGCTTTCATTACATTTCAAATTTCTTTGTTGCTTTGTTCAGTTCAACTTTTTAACATATTGTTTGGATTTATGATATTTTGCGAATATTCTCATTGTTACACAGACAAAATGTACGTTATAAAAATATAGTTATACCATCTACCCAACCAATTGCAAGTGTTTTGGAAGAAATGCGTCTTGATTCTTCGTAGGCAGCGGACGAAAAAACCAGGGGTGTTTCATTCTTACCAGCCAGAAATGTTCGTGGGCGGGTAGTCCCTCCGGGACTACGCCGGAAGATAGGGTAGGAGACCCTCTTTAGCCTCCTTTCAGGAATCGTTGGGATGAGCGGGTGGTAGTAGTTAAGCAAACGGGTTCACATATCTGGGTCACAGCTCCCCACATCTTGGTCATGGTCTATCCATCAACATCTTACCAATTTTGGACCTTTAGAAGGTCTTGATCTAAGCTATTGCTTATTAAATTTTATCAAACGAGATGTCGCTAGAATACTGAAAAACGCCGTTTCTCTGCGAGCGCGTGTAATTTGCAGCTATTGTTTTTTTGTCTATTGAATTTTTTCAATAGATGTCGCAAAAATGTCGAAACATTGAAGCGTGGACAAGGCTAGGTAAGTTTAAACTTGAATTTTTTCTCCAACAGAGACTGGTTTAAAGTGCTGATAAAACGAGATGAACTATCGTTACAGTTATTTTACCAATACAGAATTTTATTTCTAAAGTCTCTGTTTGAGGGAAAATTCAAGTTTAATGTGGCCTAGTTTTGCCCACGCTCCATTATTTTGAGATTCTTGCGACAACTATTGAAAAAATTCAATAAAAAAAAACAGTAGCTGCAAATTACACACACTTTTACAGAAAAACGACCTTTTTTAGTGTTCTAGCGACATCTCGTTTAATAAAATTCAATAAGCAATAGATTTAAGCGGCAAATTTACATATTACGCTGGAAATTCAAATAAATACAGGCTCCATCCCCATTTTATGACAATTCCAGATGGTCTTCAACAAGAGCTTCTGGTATTGTTGACAAAAGGGGCATGGTCTAACCTCTTCAGATAAAGAATGACCTAGAAAGACCTTCTAAAGCTCCAAGATTGGTAAGATGTTTATGGATAGACCATGACCCAGATATGGAGGGCTGTGACTCAGATTTAGTAACTCGTCTGTTTAACTACTGGTGGTAGTTCAGGGGAGAAAGATGAAAATTATCAGTGGAACATTATTTCCCCAGCATTTGCCTAAGTGATCTAAGGAAACAACGGAAAAACTTACACCAAGACAGACGGACCCGGAATCGAACCGACGTCCTCCCGAATGCTAAGCAATGGTATAAACCTCTAGGCCAGGCCGCTCGGTTGAAATGGACTGATAACATAAATAGGCAACCAAATAAACGGGTTATAGACCACTTTTGCATAGCAAATTCACTGAAATTTATCCTGAACTTAATTTTATAGGTCAACAACAATTATTTGACCAAATATGAGAGATACATCAAAATAACAGGATACCATTTTCAGATAGCACAACAAGTTAAATTAAAAGCGGAGTTTTTAATCTATGTCGTATCCCAAAAGATGTGAGTGAGGTTCTTTGGCATTAACCCGTCTTCACTTGCTCTTAGTTAACTAGTGAATACTGAGAAGACCGGGAAAATAATAATTACGAAAATTATTTTAAATTCTTAACAGTTTTAACCAAAATAATTTTTTTTACTATTTTCTGCAGAAATACTTCATTTTCAGGTACCAGTATTCCTGTGATTGTTATATAAAGAGCAAAAAAGGACACCTAACTGTTTATTGAATTATTGTTATTTTCGGAAAGTTATTTACGATAATCATCTTTCTTATACAGATGACGGATTCATCAAAATCGGGTCAACAGATCAAACAGCGGCATCAATCATCTGCTCTTTGAAGGTAGCATAACAACTGAAGCAAGTTTTAGAAACGAAATTTTCATAAATTTTTTATCTTTGTCATCTCACCTTTTAAAGAATGTGTATCCCCATATTCTATAGCATAACAGCAGAAAATAGTAGAGACAGTATAAGAACAAAAATAGAAATAAATGAATATGTATTAATTTTACGTATCCTATCATTGATTTTGTTAAGAAATCGTGTTATTTCTCGTTGAAGCTTCTACGACAAAGTCGTGACTATATTACCTAACCATTAATTAATTTAACCGAATAAGTAGATAACTATGCAAGCATATTAATCGTGACAGCTTTAAGCGTGGCTTCCTTCTTAAGACTTTAGATACGGAACACCTTAAACACGTTTAAGAGTGAATAATAATGTAGCTGACTGAATATGTCATTTAGGTGATGTCTTCGATCATTTCCGGTGCCCATATAATCCATCACTTCACTCAAGGTAAATGGATTATAAGCGAAGAATACTCTAGCTACCTATACAGGGTGTTCCTTAAGATAAGTAGCAAGTTTGCAGGAAGTGACAAGGCACAACAAAATTAAGTTCATCTTTGGTGGCACGAAAGTCCATCGTTTCTGAGAAAAACGTATTTGAAAGTACCTGCTGGTAATGACCAGTCCGGTAACGTATCGACGTAGACGTGACTTGTGCTGGTGTTAAGTTATTTAGTTAACATTCTAGCCCACCTACTATGATGTTCTTTTAAAAATTTCAACTCATCTCATCGAAATCAAATTTGTATATGATATCTATACTTCATTTACTTTCTCTAGCGATGTGTCCCTTCCAATGTCTTGGATGCGCGCTGGCAAAATTGTAGGTAGGGAGAAAAAAGCTCATTATACTCCCCACTCTTGTTCATTAAACATACTTTTTCATACAGTACCTGCCAAAAGTTTTGTTCAATCATGATAGTAGTGCTAGTCGAAAACAAGCGTTAAAGCCCTTAATATGTCTTCAAATATAAATAAACATCTCGTTGATATTTTCAGTAGTAAATGGTACCAATAACAGCACATTTGAGCAATGCAATTGTAGTGGATAAAATCGTCAATTTTTCCGTGCAGTACTGTACAGATTATACGCTCCTCAACGGTTAAGAGTTTGGCAGATAATTGGTTCCTTCCTTTCCTAGCCTAGTGCTGTTCTTTTCTACTGTGCGCCGGTTAAACTGAAGGTCACATTGCTACAGAAGGTAAACGAAGTATAACAATAGGATCCTTCTTATGAACGGATTCAATTTTTCATACGTCCTAATTTATAAAATATAGCTACGTAAACTTCGTGACAGTGCTACTAAAAAGTGTGTTTTTAAAGGAATAAAACAAACGCCATTACTCATTAAAAAAACTAGAACGTAAGCTGCAAAAAGTTAATACCTACAAGCCCTATGCTTGTTTGTTCTAAAATTTAGATAATCTGTTTGTTACCTGCTAGAATGTAACACATTTACGTATATATAATTTTGCTGTGTGCTGTTTAATACATCTGCTAATAAAAAGAGACTTGAAGACGAGAACAATATGAAAATTAATTTTCTCTTGTTTCAGAACCTGTGACGACAGTGCTAGGCGGACCAGAAATGTTTATAAATAGGGGAAGCACCATGAATCTAACGTGTATAGTGCAACACAGTCCTGAACCACCCCCTTCAATCTTTTGGACCCATAATTCTCAGGTATTTAATTTTAATTTAATTTTTTGTGACCCTGATTAAAACTTTTTATATGTGCTGAATAAATAGGTCTTTTAACTTTAACGGCTCCGTAATAATTAATAAAATAAATATGTATTTCAGTGGGCAATTAACAAACTAGTCCTACAAAACTGAAAACTGCATGAACAAATATATACATTTAATAAAGTATTGTCACGTATTTAAACTTCTTGTCGCAATATTACTAACTTTATTTAACTATTCGCTGTCTAATTAACATTTGTATTATTAATTAATTATCAATTCACCACTATATGAACTTCTTCGCTTCTGATTCGTACTAATTCCACTCTACCTCGCAACAACTATTTATGGAGACTAAACGAGTTCTACAATGATCTAGTACAGTGATTCCCAACCGGTGGTTCGCGAACCCCTGGTGGTTCGCAGTGTTTGCAGAAGGGATTCGCGAAAATAATATTGTAATGACGGATTTTTTGAAACTCCAATAAAATGCCTGTTTGTTAAGAAATCTATAATAAATTTTTTCTTTTTTACTTATTAGTTTTTCAAAATTACTTCATCAATATCAAAATATATCAACAATTTTATACATTAAAATTTATTCCTCTTATTCAAGTAATCAAATACTATTTATTCTCTTTTTATTACAAACATTTATTTATATTTAAAACATTTTATCAATGTGATTCGTATCATGTCCTGCTTTATAATTAAAATCATTGCAGCAATTTTTCCTTCTATGTAATATTTTTTTTTACAATACAATTGGAAATAAATATCAAATTTATTTAAATATTTCACGATTCAATTATTATGCAATATGAAAAAGTATATATTCTATCAAATTTTATTGCTTATTTTTACCTGTCATTAACGACTACATAGGGGGTTCGTCAAATTTTTTCGGACTTTTCTTTTGGTTCGCGAGGACGAAAAGGTTGGGAAACACTCATCTAGTATATGCCGTCTAGAAACTTGGTCTTCTTTACCACTATAACTCAGCTTTTTATCAGACACTGCATTATTTTGGTCATCATTTGGTGGTATTTTTTACTAATGTAACCTTATAATCGTAAGCAATCAACATTGTTGTGTAACGTTAGGTTAGATTATGGTAGGAATAAATCTTAAAAACTACATTTTGTTTTTTTGGAAATTTGTTTACCTGTTCGAGTCACTGCAACAACGGGAATATAGAGAAGGGGTATTGATAGTTTGGACATAGTTAATTTGAATACATCACGTCAAACACAGACTATTCCTAAAAATCTGTCCTTCAGGAAGGAACACACGCCGTAGGCATAAACCCAAAGTACAGGTCTGAGGAAGGAAGCTGGCGAGCGATCGCGCAGGTACTTGCCCATTTATGACCTATTTGGGTAAATCACTTGGAACCGATACACAAATAAGCTTTCAGTAGGCGTAAATTATAGTATTAATACAGATAGGACAGTAGCGTACTAGAAAATGATGTAAAAACATGACTTATCAAAAAGAAAAAATTAACCTATTGCTTTTGTTTTATAGTTAGTTTTCACATTCACTCTCATCATGGGAATCTTTATCACTGTCACCAACATCAACAATTAGTTCTTCTGTTTGTCTGTCTATTACTTGCTCACTGGTCCCTATTTTTAAATATTTAATCTACGCTCCTGATAGGAATACTGAAGAATGAGGGCTGCAATCTTTATACCTAAAATTCCCTACTTTTGCCACCGCGCATCCACGCCATTTTAATATTTCCGCCAGCTTCCAGCATCAGGCCTGTACAACTCATCAAGTACCTATTACCGATTTTATTGAATAAATCCAATATTACAATATAATGGAGAAATAAACATATTATAAATTATAAAACAATTTTTAATACGACGTACAGATAGACGTATTGTATGTAACTACCCTTCATTGTAGCACCATATTACAACAAAAATTTTTAAATGTTACTCTTTTAAAAAATTCGCTATTGTTATTAATACCATTAACGAAAGAATTAAAAAAAATCGTTTATCTCGTAAGTATCATTAACAACTGTAATCTATAATCGTATCAATTTCGCCCTAAATAAACCTGCTCCTAAAGACCGCCACTTTGCGCTCCAATAAATCACATATTGAGTTAATTATAAACAACATTGCCTTATTAGCTACATTTCCTTACAGGAAAGCAAAGCTAAGGGAAAATTACTTTAAAAACAGTGTCGCCCATGTTGCGATTGAAATAAGCAAGCCTCAAGTAACATGGTTCGATTAAAAGATTTACGACCCCATTTGAGACCAGTAATAAATGCCCTGTGTTCAGTATAAAATTACGTTTAACGACCGGTTTTATTAAATGGGGAACGAATTAGGACCGTAGCCAAATTCTGTTACAAAAATTTTATAAAAGTTTAAAGACAATAGTCGATTTTTCTGCTGATTCAATTTTCATAAGAATAACTCAAGGTTTTGAGTGTTTCTACAATTTTGTTAGTATACATAGAGTCACTGTGGGCGGATAATTCTTGTTAACATCGAGATAAGAAATTTCGAAATCCTTATCGAGTTCAGGGTAGTGGTTAGGGCAGGATCAAACATTTACACGACAGAGTCACCTGCCTTGCCTATTCCTGACTACGGTCCTGGAAGTGATTTCAAAAAATACCATCCCATAGTATTTGACAATGTCTGAAATATGCGCAACAATTTTCAATGTTTATAATACACAGTTTGTAATGCATGTGTTTTGTATTAAAAGACAATTGTCTTGGAAACTTAGTATGATACTATTCTTTAAGCTAAATTACAAGGTGGATATAATATTCTTTGTATCGATTATGGATGCTGACCACTTATTTACCTACATGGTTTTGAAATTTCTGATTGCTTACGGAAACTTCCCGTAAGTTCTCTTTGTTGTGCTAGTCTTTTCCGTAGTATGATTTATGACCTTGGACTGCTGGATCTCGATTACATCAAAGTTGTCGCTGGTATCGATTACCTGCTTCATTCTTTTATAAGAATTGTCACAAATAAAGTTTATATATGTATTTATTTACTTAGCGCCTCCTCCTTGTAATAAAGAAGCCAATTTATATGTTTAGAAATGGGTCATAACTACTTCAAAGTAATATTGAAAGTTGATTATCTAATTTAAAATGACTAGTTAATAATTTAACTATAGTTAATTAATAACGCAATAGTATAATAATAATCTCAGCCTAGTAGAATGAAGATTCGGGATATAGGGCCGTGGTCTAAGTGAACTATTGTGTCCAGACGTTTCGTCAGCTACTGCGGCTGACATCCTTAGTGGTAGTGGCTAAGACAGGCTCAAACTTTTCCACGGCAGAGTCAGCCTGCCTTGCGTATCCCTGATCACGGTCCTGGAAGTGATTTCAAAAAATTACCATGCCAGTGTATTTGACAAAGTCTGCAATATGCGGAACAATTTTCAATGCTTATAATACACAAACTGTAATTCATGTGTTTTGTATTAAAAGACAATTGTCTTAGAAACTTATTCGAACTCGAATTTTCTTCGTACACAGCGATGATTTTACATTATTGGTGCGGTGGTAATATAACAGAGAACGTGCAACTGTGATTCCTTCTCCTAACATCATGGTACAGGAACGTGCTTTGTTGAGAATTACAAAATCTTCGACTAATGATATCATAGATATACTTATAGGTACATGTTCACCGTGTCTATGATTCCATGACTCTATGAAAATTAACTAATTGGAACTGCCGAACTATAACAATTAACTGATTCGAACAGGGGAAAACAACTTATGTAAGTAAATGTTTCCTATTGCTTAGTTTATGCGATCGTGGTCTTAAATAGAATTGTTTATCAGTATTCATTAAAATATTCTTAATAAGAACCTTTTATGAAGATATAAAAACTAGATGTCCACTGCTAAACTGATTGTTTTATAACCTGCCCTAATTGAACAATTTCCCCATATCAAAATGAAGAGTGAAAAGAAATTAGCTCAAGCCTTTTTGTTCCACTCTTTCGTAAAATAGCAATAAGTATTTGTTTGAAGTTTGAGATATATAAAAGCAAATTTATTTACGTTCGTTGACATTTTCAAGTCAGTACCTAGAATTTTCCTTAACTCCTTTAGCACTCAGCGCGTTCTGAGCATCCCATACAACCCAAAACAGACAATTTTTGGAGTAATATGCTATCTAAAGAAATTCTTGTTTTATACGAACATGTATTTTTATTATAAATGTATGAGAAAGAGACATAGAAATACCACTAAAGTAATGTCTCTAAAGTTCAAAGTTCCAGTTAGTGTACTTTCAGGAACCAAAGGTAAATATGTCGGATGTAGTACAATTGCGAAAACAAATTAAACTCCACCTGTTCCTAAATCATCTTTGTTAATTAACAAGATCTTGGTTCGAAGTTAAGGATAAGCGACGAAGCATGGAAAGTTCGGTATTTGAATTACTCCTCTCATTACAGAGACATCAAAGGAGCATGACATATTCTGCGGTTAGCACAAATTAAGGGCCTTTGTAGAGTATAATACAGGAGTATAATGTGCCACTTCTGTGTCCAACTGATAAACAAATAACAATAGGTGTACGTACATATATAGATATTTAATGGTCATTATCTGTTTGGGAAATTTTAGGAAAATGAAAAAATATAATACATAGATCTAATAACGCAAACGTACAGGGTGAGCAGATTTCGATGTTTGCATGGAACAACTACAGCCCATTTCAATTTGTTTAAATTGTGACCTTGAAGAAATCTGCGCGAAGATAGAAAGAATACACACTAGGCGTGAGCAAGACAGAAATAGTTGGAACAAGCTTGAACGAGCAGAGCTCTCGATGGCCGGTCTTAGGAGATCGGCTGGAACTGTACAGTACTAAACGAAAATGTTTAGCAATTTCTTAAAACAAAAATGTATATAAATTAACAATAAAAAACAAAGCAAAAGTTTTATAGGTGTGTAGAAAGTTAAGTTAATTCACTGGTTATTATTT